AATTTGTTCCGTTGGATGAACGTAGCTGTAAATATCGTCTATTAAGAAAAATTACCTGACGCAATAGTTTTACATTACGTCATGAATATGACATTTCATAAACTCATATTTTGCTAATACTTTACATGTGTAATGCGAGTGTTACATCAATTCGTCAGAAAAGGCATACGCAGAGCGTGCGAGGCTTATGACGTATTTCAGTTAATATACGTTGTCTGAAGAAGTTACATCTATTTCTTTACACAATGCATGATAATGTTTCTTTTCTATTCGTTTCATGAAATTCACATGGAACAATCATATAATGTCTTGCGTTTAAGTCCTAATGTCATAATTATCTCCATATATTCTACAAATCTGCTGAATACGAAACTGTATTTGTCACGTGATATATACTTTTATTTGCATTGTCCTTCTAATGGGTTTTTGTTTTGTTTTGTTTTAGTTTTTATTGTTATTGTGTTTGTTTGTTATCCTTTTTGTTGTTTTTATGTTGGGGTGTTTTATTCGGAGGTGGCGTTGAGGAGTCTTTTCGTTCTTGTTCAGTTTTTAAGTTAGAGAGAAGACGTGTTCAGAGAGACACTTTTGTTCCTTACTTATTTATAATAGGCACTGACTCCAACAAATAATGTATCTTCTTTAATAATGAAACGGAATTTAAAGTCGATATGCAGATGATGCTTTCCTTTAACTACATGGTTCGCCATGGTCTCTAAAGTACACAATGCAGACTCTCAAGGACTTTTCCTTTATCTCAGATTCTAGTGTGTATTTATTGATGAATGTATGCAAATCTATTAAGGCAAATGTGTAAGAATATGAAAATACAATAAGAAATATATGAGGGGATTTAAACAGTCCTGAATATTAGTGAGCTGTACAAAAAGTTCGTTTTTAGTGAACATTACGTCATTGTATCGTATCAATTAACTCCCCATTCAGTGATGCACACATTCTGTATGATTATCCAAATATACAATGCACTTTTGCACATGCATTTTGGTATGCTACTCTGGAAAACTGCTCATCAAACCAAATGGCTGATATGAATCTTCTGCCCCTCTTTGATAACGAGATTTAGCTACAATCACCAGGAATCAGATCAGGGCTGTTTTAGAGGTCGAGGCATAGTATAAACAATGTGTTCCTTCATCAAGTCTGTCACGACGGCGGATTTACGCACAGCTGCGTTGTCATAGAAACGATAAATACATCAATACCGATACGAAGCATTTTATCTGTGTCTCACAAATGCTTTTACATAAATTACAATCGTGTATAGTGACTGGTAACATTTTCATATTGTTTTCCATGTGTAATAGACAATAAAGGTAGTATTGTTTACTGGATTTCCTAGCATGAGAAACATCAAAGGTACTATTGTTAAGATGGTGTCCTAGTTTTACAGACATCACCTCTGTCCGCGTAAGTTCAAGTCTCTGCTCGACCAATGTGATTATGTAGCAAAGTTTGGTAGTAGCTTCTTTCCGGGAATTTTCCCCGGTTCTTCAGCTATCAAATATACTGCCACCCTCCCCCACCATGTATAGCCTCATAAAAAAATTCATCGTTTCTGTTAATGGTCCAGTGTCTTTACAGTTTAATGATAAATCATACAATTGTATTCATTTACACTTCTTTATTTGCTAAAATTAAAATACTTGATGATGAAAGCCTATGTCAAAATATTTTTTATGCATATTTTTGGAATTTTGAAAGCATAAAGGTTTTTAAATTCGGAACAATTAAACTGATTTAACTTTGTTCGTTTATCAGTAACATATTTTGGCAGGATGTATCATTTATGTCTTTGACCATTGGGAAAATTTATCCTTTTTCTCCTGAACAGTAGTCCTCACAGGAAGATATCAAGTTTGTTGGCATTACTAGTTTTTAATCTGCTACTAGATAGCGATGGCTGTGTATTTGTTCAATATTTTTCGATGTAGAAAGACACTTGTTAAGTTATAATAAAGTGAAATAAAGAATATATACTAAAAGAAGATTTAAAAGTTTTTTTGCATTGCGTCTCCACATAAAACTTCGCTCTTTGTAATAAAAAGGAATTTCAGATTTTTTTTCAAAACAAATAATTTTCACTAAAATCAAAGATATCAATAACCTCGTTGTAAACGCAACATATGGTCAAGACTGTTTGCACAATAATGATAAAACCCAGGAATAGCCTTTTATTTTGTCAAACAATGCCCCAATTACACCAAACTAGTAGGTCCTCATTTTTTTTAGATTTAGGTACAAAAGTACTGTCACTAATCCAGTTTTACTGTTCTTTTCATTGAAGATCGCGTGTAATGTTTGCAAATGATGGAATAAAAAATACTTGGCGTTAATTGTATAAATGCCCACTTCCTATATTTTTCTGGAAATCATTTATACACTAACTACTTTCAATTTCTCGTAAAAATGTGTTTCATAAAAATTCAGAATCTCGTACTCTTATTTGCAAGATATCGTGTTCATAGATTTCGCTGTGTATCAAAGAATACTAATTTCATATATCATAAGAATTATTTTTCATTTTGCAAAATATTAAAAATAATTAATGCTAAGTTGAATCATATAACAAAAATCTTTCAGAAAAGTGGAGCCGTCTTTCAAATTTCATCGATAATTAACACCATGTAATGTACATATAGAGGCATGAGTAAATAATAACGACAGCCATCTTTATCAACTTTAAAAGCATCACATTTCTCTAGAAGTCCATTTCTTACGATTGACCGTATACAAGTTGCAATCAACTGAAGATATTATATTAAAATCAGTGACAAAATTTGACTTTGGAATGACCTACATAGTATCGACACGATCAGAGGATAATCACGGTAAATCATAATGATGACTTTCTTCCAGACAAGTTAACAAAACTATATGACTTATAAATTAAGGACAAGTTGTATTAAACCTTGTATGGAAAACTGTCCAATCATTCACTGCGCTCTTATCAACTGATTGATGATGTTTCTATTCGATCTATCTCAGGATTTATCTGCATACAAATTGCTATGTTTTCCCCATCAAACTGCTATTTCACACGAAGACTAGATTCCTCATCATACTGCTATTTCACACAAAGACTAGATTCCACATCATACTGCTATTTCACACAAAGACTAGATTCCCCATCAAACTGCTATTTCACACAAAGACTAGATTCCCTATCATACTGCTATTTCACACGAAGACTAGATTCGGCAGCTACAAAATTCGTAAAGATATAAGACTAGTCTCCTATGTAGATTAATGAAAATTAAGATGCGATAAATCACGGCGGAAGAGCGTCAATAAATCGCACTCCCGATGCCTCATATTTGAGTATTTACAGCAATTTTTTTAAAATTATGACACTTGATCTAGCTGTCTACTACTTAGTTCGTTGATCGCACCACTTCGGTTTACTTTCACAAAGTTCAACGTCGCTAGGTAGAGGGGACAATTGAGCAACTTTTGACTAATATCTTGCAGGCTGTATTGAAAACGAGAAATGTGAAATATAGTACATTTATTTTAACAACAACTCCATATATTATTTGAATTCAGAGTAACTTTTAAATTAACCTTACCTTAAATTAAAAACTTTTTCACGGCTTAAAATTATATATGGGCAAAATATTAATAGTCTTACAACACTACTAGGGTATGAGATGGGTGGTCTTGACTCGACTCTTTCTCAAATCATCCTCTGTCTGATTACGTTTAAGATCTACCTTTTATCGAGCGAAGTATGTATATCCTGATTTTAGCACACTTTTAATTAATTATGTTATTATTATTTAAGTTGCATTGTTTGTAAGCTAGATTTTTGTTGTATATTTCATTACATGCTATTGTAATGAAACATCGTATGTTGGCCGTGATCTAGTCCAAAACTGGGTTCAATTCTGCTTGAATTGAGTTGACTTTTCTGTAAACAATTATTACATAACTAAATTATTCTCTATGTGAATGGGTTTAAAATCGGAATTATTATTGACTGAAGTAAATATATTTATTTGGGTATGGTCTAAGTTTCGGAATTTCCTTAGTGTATTTGACATAGTCCAGGTTCAGGTTTCTAACAATAACTAATCTTTTTATTTTGTAAACATCAGGAACATTCTAGAAGGCTATTCTCCTTTAGGTAATATTTGTTTGTTTTTTTTAAAGAACTTTTTTATTGTGAACTGAGCTTTAAGTTCTAGCACAGTCAAGTTGTATTATACATTGTGAGCAGTAATTTTGCGCTGGAATCTATTTTGTTCAAATTATTCCATTCAAGTGCATATTTTCTCCGGAAATAAATTATTTGTTGAATTTTATAAAGCTTATTGCTTTTCACTCTTTTCTGTTACTTATTTTAAGAGTTTAGACTCGTAACAATTAAGACTTTAAATTAATTTACTAATTTCCTTAATTCTTATCTAAGATTAAACTATTACAAATATGAGCATCAAATAATTTACACTACCGCAGCTCTACTATTGTTGTTTTTTTAAACTCTTACAAAAATAAATGAAGACGATAAAATAATACAACTCTGGCACTGAATAAATATGATAGATTTAAGCGAATAATCGACATTGCCGATGTTGAGTCTTGAGTAACTAAATGTCATCTGCTAGAATATAGTTCAATTTCGTGATTTGTTTTAATTTATAATGTTAATAAATGTATCCGCTTGGTCTTGGCGTAATGCTCGTGACAGAGATGTTACATTTTCTGTCTCTCGCTTCATCAAGAATCACGGTAATTGGGCTGAATGGTTGTGATATGATTATGATTTTTAACGTATCTTTAACAATTTTGCAGTCATATCGCTACGACGTCTGCAGTGTGGCATTTTATAGTGATGTCTAGCACTGGGGAATCATGCCGCAGACATGTAGCATGATGTCCCACCCAGTCACATTATCCTGACACCAGGCCGACCAGTCCTTACACTAACCTCTTAATGCTGAACGTCAAGCAAGGCATCTGTTAGTACCATTTTTGTAAGTCTTTGGTATGATATGACCGGGAATTGAACCCACGACCTCCCGCATCCGAGGCGGACGCTCTAACCATTATGCGACC